CTTGCAGCCCAGAAAGCCAACTGTGTCCTGGGCTGCATCAAAAGAGGGGTGACCAGTGAGTCGAGGGAGGTGATCCTGCCCCTCTACTCCGCTCTTGTGAGACCCCACCTGGAGTACTGCATCCAGCTCTGGGGGCCCCAACATAAGAAGGACATGGAACTGTTGGAGAGAGTCCAGAGGAGGGACATGAAGGTGATCAGAGGGCTGGAGCACCTCTCCTATGAGGACAGGCTGAGAGAGTTGGGGTTGTTCGGCCTGGAGAAGAGAAGGCTCCAGGGAGACCTTACAGCAGCCTTCCAGTGCCTGAAGGGGCCTACAGGAAAGATGGGGAGGGACTGTTTCTCAGGGAGTGTAGTGATAGGACAAGGGTTAATGGCCGTAATTTGAAGGAGGATTGATTTAGATTAGATATCAGGAAGATATTCTTTACAGTGAGGGTGGTGAGGCACTGGCACAGGTTGCCCAGAGAAGCTGTGGAGGCCCCATCCCTGGAAGTGTTCAAGGCCAGGTTGGATGGGGCTTTGGGCAACCTGGTCTAGTGGAGGGTGTCTCTGCCCATGGCAGGGGGGTTGGAACTAGGTGACCTTTGAGGTCCCTTCCAACCCAAACCAGTCTGTGATTCTGATCCATTCCTAGTTTTGGGGAGTTACATAATATGGAAAGGCCTCCCTGCTGCAGAAAGTGCCAAGGTATGGTTTTACAAGTCTTTGCTCCCAGTTAATAATTTTGTTCTTGTTAATCACTCCTGTTCTTGTTACTTATTCTTGTTATGCACCAATCGCTGGCTAATTACGTCATGAATAAATGGCTAAACTGCATCCATACTGACTTGATTTTAATCAAACAAGTTGGGCAGTTTTCCTCTGCATCATACCGGTACGTAAGCACAACTCGCACAGAGCCTAGACAGCAGTAAGATTTTTATTGATGCTTTGCTGTGCATATTGAAAAAGCTTTATGAGCTTGTGTGAAGTAGCAGACTGAAGCAATTAAGCACACACCATGGTTTCCAGAATCAGGGCTGATCTGGAAGTCCTGTGGATAAGTAACTGCTTTATATTCCAGTTCTATATTCCTTATCATTCAAACTTTAATTTTAAATTAGATTGAGAATTTGCTAAAACTTATCCCCTTTTCCCCCAACCACCCAATGGGGACGTATGTCCAAACTCGCTCCCAAAGATTTTTTGCCAGTCAGCAGGAAAGGTTTCTAAGGACCCTGATGGGAGCACTAAGCGAATAAGACCATTCCCACCCCAGGTCACCAATTTCAGCCATAGTGTAATTCGCTCGTGTTGCAGATGATTCCTTTCCCATTGGCCAGGGTAATCTCTCTTCTTTTAACTTTTCAACTTTATGAATAATTAAACGTTCAATGAGGCCGAGTGATCTAGTCAGGGGTTACAGCTGCTGTTACTGTTGGAGCCACCGAGAAGGCTCCTCCACCCTGCTCTCTCAGGAACAGTCACCAACCATAGTGATTTGGGGTTAGGTACAAAATGATGCGCATAAGTAATAAACAGCACGTTATCTCAAGTATTTTGACTGCAAGGACCAAACTTTACAATAAATTACATTAGGGGATGTAGAGTATGTTCCTTATGCTGTAAAATCTGTAAAATCCAGATTCGCAGCGCTTTACATTCTTTAGAGCTACTTCAAAAAAATCCCCATGTGCAGTTGGCAACAATAGAGATAGGAAATTTTCGAGGTGGGTCTCAGAAATGCTTAGGAATTCACAAACTGAAAAAGCTTACCAAAGTCACCAAAATTACCTACAATTTCTTCTGATGAGGACTCTTTTTTTCTGGTTTAAACAAGTGTTTTGCTATTTTTTTGTTGTATTATTCTTGGTTTTCTATTATCTCATGCATTTTTTGTTGCATTTATTAAAATTTCCTTTCTTTTGTCAGAGTACACCTTTCAAAATTTAAGATGTTACATTTGCGACATCAGGTAAGCCTTTCTGAAGTGCAGTTAGTGCCCACACACGGAAGGCTGTACCGCAGCTTCAGGTCCTGCCTGAAGGCTGTCGTCCAGCAAAAGTCATGGCAAAGAGATATAACCATAGAATCGGTTTGGTTGGAAAAGACCTTTAAGTCCAACCGTTAACCTAACGCTGCCAAGTCCAACCACTAAACCATGTCCCTAAGCACCACATCTATGTGTCTTTTAAATACCTCCAGGGATGGTGACTCAACCACTTCCCTGGGCAGCCTGTTCCAATGCCTGACAACCCTTTCAGTGAAGAAATTTTTTGTGTGTCTTGGTACACAACTTAGCTTAATAGATTCTCCAACAGATAAAGCATATCAAGGAACCTGAAAGCGTTTATTTTAATTTACCACAAACACACTAAAACCAAGCCACCATTTGTTATTCTTGTCAGTTCTTTATTGGTTTTCATCCTAAAGACTAGCACATTTACAGCATACATGATTGGATGAACTAGAATATATAAAACAGTAGCCATATGTTTATGATATATTAATACTGCCCAAAACCAAATAAATAAAAATATTTCAATGCACAAAGCTTGGCAAATACAATTGTGTTGGGACAAAACAGTGTTGTATTATACAATAATTTTACATGTATAAATGAAACAAAAGGCAACTGTGCTGTAGGTACTTTCACAGAACATACACAGAACATACTTGGCAACAGTTTTTTTTTAACCTTTGTATGTTTTATAATTTAGAAAATGTACTCAAAAAAGAACATTAGACAGAACTTCATTTTACAGTAATCCTTAAATTTTCCTCTCCTGTGCAACAGAAAAGCTTACTCCACCCTTGTGAAGCGTCCTATGTGGATTTCAAGTTTCACAGTTTTTCTTTTTGATGAACTGCTCGAGATCTTACTGTTCATTACGCCCTTTAAACAAGCCCGTCGATGTGCATGTACTGACAATGGCATATATGTAAAACATTAGCTGGACATCGATGTTTTACATGTAAGCATACTGAAATCAGAGTATTTTAAACAAAATAACGCAGTACTTGAGACCGATATTCCACCACTTTAAAAAGGTGAGCAAAATCCATGCACATACAAATTCAGGAACTTTTTTCTGATTACATTGGTATAGAAAATAAATAAAGGATCGTTAAGCTCTAGAGGAGATCTAATGATTGTTGGCCACAGTCGAAGAGAGCGGCTCTGCTAATTGTTACAATAGACCTCGTTATTTTCTTCTGAAACTGAACATCGGAAGATTTTTAGTGTAACAATATAGGACTTAAAATATAATTAACTATGTTTGAAATATACAAAATAAAATTATCAACTCATAAAAACTAAGGGATATAAAGAGTATAGTTTATACAAAAATAAATGTAGCATTTAATAATGGGCCAGGGACTGAAGGTTGAGCAGAACAAATGGAGTAACATGTCTAAAGAGATCCCATTGAAAAGCTTTTCACCACGCAGTTGTTTACATATTAGCAACAAAATAAACACTAATTTATTAATTGGTGAACAGGGTTTGTAAAGTTTCCAAGGGACTGTTCTACTGTAGATGAGTTGTTCGGACCTAGGATAGGTACAATACATTGATTTTGCACGGAATTCAGGTTCTTTGCAGTGTTTTGTTGTCCTAGAGAGACTGAAAGAATGGTAACAACCTCGTTCAGCAGAACTCTCTGACCTGGCTTTGTGACATGCTGCTCAGTGTTAAACTGCAAAAAGCAAAATGCAAAAACTGCTAGACCTGGAACCCCCAAACCTACATGGGAGCAGAATGAACATGACTGATTGATAGAGCAGTGACAGCACAGACAAACATCAGTGAGAGGGAGAAAGAAATCAGAAAACAGCCATATACTTACCTGGCTGTTGCTACTCTCACAGGAATAAAGGGGCAGATTTTTCTATTCTAAAACTTCTATCCTTAGAAACCAAGGAGGAAAGGGCACAGTGTGCTGAATGAAGCTAGCTAGAGATGACTTAATCCTGTTAACATTGGGAAATTAATGTTTAGCTGCTTTTTAAAAAGGTATCTTAGCTTCAGAGGCATTTTTTGGGAGATTATTTCCCAATTTAACATTTTTTATCAAATGCTATCAAACTGGTCACCTTAGTCATAAGCCAGAACACATCTGCAGTTCTCACGTGTTAGCAGTAGCACGTGAGCAGTTCCTCACTCGCTACCTTCCTCAGAAATACTCTGAAAACAGTTTTATTCCCCCCCCGGCCCCCGCCCCAGATTCTGAACATCTATCTACCCAGGTAAAATGCAAAGGTAAACAGAAACCAGTTTTGGTTATGGAGTAATGGGGATGCGTTGGGCAATTTGAGCATTTTTGTATCGACATTCAAAATTGATATGGAAAAAAAAATCAAACACCAATCCAAAAAATGCAACCACCCAAGATACTAATGCTTACAATCCAGAAGTGATATAAAAAGCCCTGGGTAAAAATATGTTAATTAATATACAATACCATGGAACGTACTGAACACGTCACGTGCAACATTTAAGTAACTTGCTTGTTGCACTTGCCTTACAGTGGGGAAGGGCAGGGGGAACTGTTGCTGGCATTAATGGTTAAGCATCGTTATGTTTCTGGAACACTTTTTTTAAAATCAGTTAAGATGTGTGCCCAAGTCCTCATCTGCCAAAGTCAACAGGAATTTGTTTTATTTGGACAGAACTAGAAACTAGACCTCATATGCCTGGCCTTTTATGTATTGTTAATTTCAGATATGAAAATGGCATCCTATATACAGTAAAACAATTTATACTCCTGGCTTTTATTGTGCTGATTTTTTTTTAAAAGTTAAACTTCTGTTTCTTGATTGTAACAATGCATTCTACAGTTATTAGACTGTCTAGGATCCAATCCCTTTTTATTTACAACTTTTGAGTTTTACTCTGAGTTTTAAAAAGTTTATGAAAAGCTCAATCTCAAGTCAACTCAGTATAAAAAGATGTTTTGTGAAACAGCTGCCTAAATGCCGTTCCTAGAGTCCTTGCCCATCCAGGAGGTACTTAGCTATTTGCATATAGGGAATTATTAAGTAGCACAATATCTGCTCATCTTACATACACTGAAGGCTATTTAAACAGGCAGAGAGTCATCACACTATTCTCAAGCTAAGGTGTCAGAATAATTGTTACTATAGATTCCAATTCTGTAAGTAACATGCTCTGTATAACCTAGCGAAACGTACAAAAAGGTTATTTATCTCTTCTGGATGACAAAATCATGTATTAATCTAGAGTGTATCCACATGTTTTAATGGAACAGCGATTAAAGGACATAGTATGCTTATGTTTCAACTTTTCCATAAGTTCCTTCTGGAGGCCTGTAATACTTTGGGAAAGCCTTCAGCTGCAGGGAATTAAATGCATACTTGCGACATCCAACATTCTTCATTGTATTTTCTCGCCGACAACCCTCACTGGGGAAAAAAAACAAGCACAAAAAATGACAGCAGTAAAAAGGAAAAAAAAAAGAAAAAGACTTAAACTAAGATGAAATGAACTGGTTATTTTATAGCATTAACAAAAAGTTGGTTATATTTAATGAGCGTTTAATTAATTTGCCACTGCAAATATTAAAAATGATGACTCATCATACAATGCTAGTAAGAAGCACACAGAATGGACACATGCTATGTCTGATCGCTAGTTTTGCATTTCTAAAAAGCAGCAGCGCATCTACTGGAAAAGTTCTTTCATGACGGTTTCATGTATTTCAAGGTACACTCTTGTGGAGTTCACATGCCGCTTCATCGCACAAGGGATCCCAAGAGATTGCTTAAAAGAGTTCTGCTAATGTATTAGTATATTAAGCTGAAAAAGAAAAACTGCTGATCTCTCAATAAGAGCTTTAAAGTAATTTTATTGTTCCCTGTATGTCAGTATTATCAGTACTTACTTAAAGACTAGAGCTGATACAAAAATAATGACTTTCCAGTTATCTCTGCATGCATAAACTGACTTGAAAACCAATATACTCTAAAAAAAAAAAAATCTTAATCATGAAATAGCAGCTTTGTGTGGGTGCAAAAAAGATTGGCTGTGTTGGCAGTCACCACCCCAATGAATCAAAGCTGTGCGGAATTTAATTTTTACCCAATGTTCTGGTGCAACTGCCCCACATTACCAAGAGGTTCTGCGCTATGATAAAAAACTACTCCGGTTATAAGGCTTCTTTACACTTGTAAATCTACTTCAGAGTTCCTTTGATTATATCCAAAAACAGACATACAGAGAGGAAGCACTGTCTTTTAAATATACATTATAAATCAATTTAGGCTTGCAGGAGAATGTCTTTCCCTGATAGAGAACTGAAACCTAAACAATGAATACGAGAACTTCACAGCACAGCGTACAGTACACCATCTTACAGTGGAAATGTCATGTTACTCCCGTCTTGGAAACGGCTGCAGCATCTACCAGGTAAACTGTGGTCATCTGATTCAAAAGGAGCATTTGGATTCTGGTTCAGTTTGAAAGCTGTCTTGCTCTTACTGACCTCACTGTTCTTCTAATTTTGTTGATTAAACTGACTGTAACTCTTTTCTGTATGTACCACATAGTTTGACTTCATAAAACATTGTAACTTTTTGCTTTAAGAAACAGATTAAGTAAGTTTGAAATTTGCTTCTGGAGCACATTCTGTGCCTGCCTTTTACGGAATGGATCGTACATTATGACATGATTTTTATGGAATTGTTTTGTGTTTTACAGAACCCCCCCAAAGGCTGTTGCAGTCAGATTAATCAAAAATTTGAACAAATTATAGTTCAGAGTACTAATAAACCCAGTAAGTTTAACTAGCAAACATGGGGTGCCAGATGAGCTTTTTTCACTCCAAAGTGAATTATTCTGCTCATAATTCATTGCACTGCATCTGGTTATTGCATATGTCTATGGCGCAGAGATGGTGACAAGAGATGTGTTTCACACACTATTTCGTGTGCCATGTTTCTTCTGCTGGAGGCACGTAAGCAGGATGCACTACAGCATTTTAAATCCAAATGCCTGAACGAATGCACAGACCAGCTTAAAAAAAACCCACAAAACAAAACAAAAAAAACTTGTCCCCACCAATATTTAAGGAAAAACCAACATTGTTTTCAAAAAGCCTAGGCTTCCATTCTAGATGAATTTCAGGGTGGTCTTACTGCAACCCTAATGATAGTCATGAGCCTTTATTTAAACAGATTAATTATCTCGGGGAGTTCAGTGGAGATACTCCTCCTAAAGTTACTTTCACATCTTGTTAGACCGAACCCAGGACACTCCTCACGCCACAAGAACAAGGCCACAGTCCAACCTGACGCTCCTTCACTTTGTAAAAAAAGTAGATTTTGGTACCGATAGGAAATGAAGCAGTGTTAATCAGAAAGGAGAGATGATTTGTATGGAGACACAGTGGTAGCAGGTATCCGCACAGGACATGGATACGGTCCAATACCATCATACCATGATTTTAAATCTTATCAGCAAGAAGGCTTTACCTAAATTCAGTGCAACTAAAAATAAATAGGATACATGCGTGTGTGTGTGTCTTTCTGGGCTTTTTTTCTTTGAAGAACAAAATTGGAAGAATAGTGAGGACAAATACCAGGAGATAGTGTACTGTACAGTCTGAGTTTGTGAAGACACAAATATAATCACATACTTTTTTTTTTTTTAGTTAGAATATTCACCAAATTTAGGATTTTCTTCTAATTTTTATTCTGTGCTCTTTTTTTCTTTTAAGCTTTCTCTCCAAAGCTTTCAAATACCATTAAAACTGATAATAAAAGCTATAGCTACCTATGTTTTTTGAGCCAGTTAATAATAGTAGAAAATAGAAATCACAGTACTAGAAGAGCTCTCCTCAGAAGCCCAATGTTCTGTCATCTCAGGCACCAAGCAAAATAAATCCCTCTACGAATTTAGCAAACTACATTAAACGAGGTTAGGTTTTTTCGATCGGGTATTGCTATTGACAAGCTCTGCCAGACCACGGCATCAACAAAATCTTTCAGATTAAATAGGCCTCTCATAGTTAGGTGTTACATATAAGTGAAGATCAAATTTCATCAGCAATTATTCTGCGTGATTAAACTAGGTAAGTCGCTTTAGTTTTACCACTTAAATAAATGTTAACCTACCATCATGTTTTTCTCTAAATCACTATCAACATCATAATTTATTAAAGCTGTCCAACACTTAAAAATGGAAATAACAGTAATATTTAGTCTAGTGTAATTAAACCAAAGCCCAGTAGAAAACTGCAAACCCATCTACTAAAGGAGCTAACTGATACCACCCTCTTCTTGCCTGAAAGATTAAAGACCAGTATCTTTAACTTCTAGGATGATAATGACCCTATTTCAGAGTAAGTTCTATAACAGAGCACCTGAAACAGATAATGGATCATTAGCAGGCTAATGCCAATTACATCCTCTTCCTGATCACAAGTCATTCTCTTTATGTCTTTTAATACATTACAAAATGCAGATCTACAAATAGAATGAAGTAATTCTGCATGCAGCGCACCGCAAGTTGTTTTTTGAGTGGGTACACTAGTCTATTGGAACGTACTTAACCATGAGAAAGGAACAAGACTATGGTTCTACAAACTGTTCAGTAATGTAATTTGGATATTATGCTTTGAAATGAAGGTAGAAATTTGTTTATTTCTTTAAATAAATTTCTTATAATTTCTTATAAACCCCACCCCTGTTTTTATTTTTCTCTTCATACCTCGTAAAAATGAAAGGCAAGATTAGCATACACCTTAAATATACAAAAAGATACAAATTCTTTTCAGACAGAGTTCCTTTCTCTGGAATACATGAAACAAGTAACACAAAACTATATTTGGTAAGAGATCTTCAGGCCGGCTAAAGTAACGAGGTAACAGGCCAATGTCAGACTATGTTACAAGCACTGAAAGCAGAACAATAATTTAAAGTTTCAATACAATTCTTTTTGATAAAATAATTTGATGTATATTTACAGTTTAGTACAATAGAAACGTAAAATTGTAAGGCATAAATATAATTCTTGGCAGACAATGCTATGACACGTTCCTTTGTCCAGCAGGTACCAAGTGGCAATACACATTCAAGCACTTTTTTGTTGGGTTTTTTTTGTTTGTTTTTTTAACTTTATCTTCACTTGCAACGTAATCTGGCCACCAGGTATGCTATGCTCAGAAACAGCCACACAATCAGTAAATTGGGGCTGAGAGCTAGTAAAGGAATAGAGTAGAGGAGGCTGGGATCTAGTCTGAAATCTCGGATGGGCACCAAGCCACTCAAGTTCTTCTGGGTGACTACCTCCCGTGTTCCAATGCTGTGAAAAGGAAGAAGGTTGGGAGGAGGGAAAATAAAACAGAAAGGAAGACGGACATGCAAATGAATGTATAAAAAGAGATGGCAACACAAGGTGGTCAAGAAAATGAAAAAACATGGAAGAAAGCACAACAGAACCAGAATATGAAGTAAAGAAAAAGCAGAAAAACATCTCAAAAATATGTATCAGCACAATTACAGAAATAAGGAGAGGGAAAGAGAATAAAAGAGAAAAATAAGAAAGAAGTACTGTAGTCTACTGAAAATAAACACATGTAGGTTGAATATAAATGGTTTTCCATGTTCATTCTTTCAGATTACCAAGCAATAATATCCCATGCTGCTCTGCCATGCTTCCGCATGCTGCAAAGAAGTGGAGCTCTGAAAAGCAAGCTGAACATGAATAACCATTGTAGTATTTGACCCTTTCAAACATCTTTCCATATAGGCTGCAGTGAAAGAATTTAACATCTTAACTACCTGCTATAAACAAAAAACCCCAAACCACCCACTTCAGCATGAATTCAAGTGTGTATCAATATGCTTTCCAAAATGCATGTTTCTGAAGTGCCTCAATGTATGCATGTGAAGGCAAGACATGCTACACAGCCCATCTCATTACGCCCCTGCTTCCTACATTGCTTTGAGCACCAAAGGCCTATAGCAGTGAACACCTCCTCAGGTAACCTGAGGCTTTGCAGTGTCGTGTTTCATTTTGGATCACTTACACCCTGTGCAGTCCAAATCCATTTTTAGTTCACAAAGAAACAGCTAAATGCAACCTGTGAGCCTGATCCTGTTAGAACAAGTGCACTCACTCCATCCATAAAAGGTGATACATAGCCTTGGTGGTTGTGTAGCAAGGTTAGGTAACCAACAGACAATGTCTTGGAAGACATCAGAGATAGTCTGGAGATAGTGAAAGTGAAAAATAGCCTTCAGATGCTGGCAACACTTCAAGTCAAATGGAATTAGGTGGGCAGGGAACTAAACCACTGTATTTCTGATCTGGATTGCCACATCCAAATTGGTGATCAAAATACGTTTTCACTCCTGGTGCCTACACTGTATAAGGACAGATTGAGTCTGTGATGCCCACAAATCCCAATTATCTTTGTAGTGAGAGGGGGGAAAGTTGATCAGGAGAATCAGTAAGTGGAAAGCTAATGCTGACTGGAAAGTGGTGGGTAAAGGCTCAACAGAATAGTCTGGAGGAAGAAAAGTGTTTTAAGATATAGATAAAGAAGTAAAACAACGGGGGAGGGAAAGAAGGAAGAAAGGCTCAAAATTACAAGCTAACATTATGAACATCACATGCCACATCTCTACCATTGAAAATTATTATCAAGCTACTCAATTTTACACAAAGACATACGCACAGACATGTACAGTGTGAATGGAGGCAAGAGCTGGAAAGTGCTTTCCTTGTCACTGTTGGCCCATGCAGATGCTTCCACCCGGAGGGTGCAAAGTCACCTTTTGGAATATACCAGATATAACAAATTGTACAAAGTATTCATCAGCAGACTGCCTCTAGGAGAGGAGCAGGGTAAAGAGATAAAGCAGATTCCTGGCTAATCCAGCCTGCGTATGGGAATCCTCTCTGTGAGGAGAGGCCGGGGCTACCCTGCGCCGAACACAGCCAGTCCCACCAGACCCACCGCAGGGCGCAGCTGAGCCCCTCAGCCACAATGGTGGTACCTCGGAGAAAGCATCTGTAAGAAAAGGCAAAACACTGCATGGCAGCGAGAAGTGATGGGAAGAGACGTGAGAAACAGCCCCGCGAGCACCAAAGTCAGAGAAGGAGGGAGGAGGTGCCCCAGGCACTGAAGCAAGGATTCCCCTGCAGCTGTGGAGAAGACCACAGTGGAGCAGATGAGTATTTCCTGAAGGTCTGCAGCCCATGGGAAGGACCCACACTGGAGTGGGGGAAGAGTGCAAGGAGGAAGGAGCAGCAGAGAGGAGCTGTTACGGACTGACTGCAAAACTCCATTCCTCGTCTTCTATGCACTGTGGAGAACAGGTAGAGGAGTTGGGAATCAAAGAGTGAAGTACTTGGGCCTGGGAAAAACAGGTTGTGGAGGGAAGGTGTTTTAATTTTTGTCTTTGTTTCTTACCATCCAAATCTATTTGCAATAAATTAATTTTCTCTAAGTTGAGTCTGTTTTGCCTGTAACTGTAACTGCCAAGGGATCTCCCTGCCTTTACCTCAACCCATGAGCTTTTTCATCATATTTTCTCCCCCTGTCCTGTTGAGGACGGGGAGTGAGAGAGTGGCTGGGTGGGCATCTGGTAGGTGACTAAGGTCAACGCACCAAAATTTTATTCTTAAAGCAGGTCAACCAGTGAAGAAATCCAACCAAGCTTTTTATCATGGCTGTTTTATTGCAGTGAGTGGTCATATCCAAACATGACTGTCAGGGCTTTATTATGTAGTCTTTTTAGTCCGCACCATGGCAGCTAGAAGACATTATTTCCCTCACTCCATTTCCACCTGCTTTTCAAGAGCCCCTGTGAGACACAGCTCCTCTCTGCTGGCTGAACTGCTTGTATCACAACTTCCTAATTGGTTTAGTGAAAATGAGCCGGGGTACCTTAATTTCCACTGAAACTGGATTAGAGCATATTCACACAAATAGCTCCACTGGTGTATCTGACAGGACATTAATCTGGTAGGGGGAGGGAGGGCAAGGAGTCATAGGTCTAGTGGGGAGCGTTGGCACTACTGTGGATGGAAGAGGCTATGTGATCCAGTTGGACTTTGACTCTTAAGCTGCCTTTACTGGCCAGGTAGTCATTTCCTCTGTAGCTTGGACTGGATTCCAGACATATCATGATGATTGTACTATTTGTAAGCTGTGACTTACCATATATTTGATTTCGGACTGGAAAACCTGTGACTTATTTACAGAAAAGTGAGTTTATTCTAACAGGATATTTGTTTCTAAGGTGAAAGCTGCAAACTTGCGTCTGTGAACTTCTACAAGAATCTAAAACAAGCACTCATTGTTCTCTTCCTGATGTCCACGTTCACTGACCGTAACTATCACAGATACAAAATTATCACAAGACTAGGAAGGAAAGGAAGTCCATGATGATGAGTAAGTGGGAGCTAACACCTCTGAAAACCAACATCACAGGGAAGAAGAGGGTACTTTCTTAATTTTTCAAGAACAGTCTAAGCAAGAATGTTTTTCTTCTCTGGAAAGTTACCAGTAGAGAAGAGATTAAATACTTTCTTTGAGTCCCACAACCTAATAGTACTTCTTCCCTGCCCTTTCAACTGCCTCAGAAACTTCAGAAGTCTTCAAGACTGAAGTAAGCCTTGCTTTTCCAGTTCAGTTACACAAATAAAAGATCCAACTTAAAAGACAAAGCAAGTTTTCTGAATGCCCTGGAAGTAATTTGCTACCCTTTCACTTCCTGTGTCTGTCATCTAGGTCAGGCCATCCTGTCCAGGCTGAAATGGGCTTGGGTGGAATTGGACTCCTCCATATTTGTTCCATAATCCTATCTCTCTGATTAAGCTTTGTTAATTCTGTGCCATTGTTCCTGAGCAGAACTGGCAAATAATCTTAAAAGCACAACCACTTACCCCAGAGAGCAATGAGATGTGAGGAAGAAAGAGTGATGGGCTTGAAGAATAGTCTAATCTTAGTATTCCTTCAGGATGAATCAGTATTTGTTCTGCACAGTCTCTCTTAGTCAGAGATTTAACAGGAGAAAGTCATGTCTTTCACCTGTCAAAGCAAGTCCCTGATGTTGCTAGAATGCACAAGGCACAGGTTTTGATTAAATTTGCCCTCTTTCAAAATCCCTGTGTAGATCAATATTTTATGCGATCGTGTGTTACATTAAATCAATAGTCTGAAGGTCCAAAACAATGTTGCTATTATCAACCTCTGTCTCTACCGTGTCAACAACTGCATTTAAAAAAAAAATAAACTCAGTAACTAATTTTTTAAAAAGTAACAAGATTCCTAGTATTATTTTATTCTTACTAAATAAACTGCGCAACAAAGCTTTTTTCTTTCAGATGTCTAAGTTGACAAGTTGCATAATTTAAATAAAGGTATCTGAGAGTCATTTAGCTCCATTTTAAGTTAATAAATTCTCCCTCACAAAGCTGTTTCGAGTTTTGTTTCTAATATGAAGGTTTAATTAGTCTCTGAATGCAGTTTTCATGTATTGTACTAACTCTGTAACAATACAGCAAAAAGTGCAGCAGAAAAGTGAAAATAAAAAAGTCCAGTGACTTCCAATTAGATGTAGAGATAAAACCCAAATTATTAGTGTAAGAGGCTGCAAGTGTTATTATATAAGACCTCCTAGGTAACTAAAGAGTAAGAAAGGGTCAAACAGCAAAAACATACAGAAAGGATAAGAGAATTGAACACTCTAGAGAATTTGGTGAGAAGACACACAGTACAGTACATTCAGTAAGAGTGAATGTTGAAAAACAGGACTGAACAGCATTGTTGAACTACATTGATAAAGACTAAAGCTAGATTTCTTATCCTTTCTTTTGGTATGTGAGTTGCAGAGTTTTCCAGCAGTGCTTGAAACAAGGCATTGAACAACAGTAAACGGATTTTTCTTTTTTTTTTTTTTTTTTAGTACAGTATTTAATTCTACAAACATCTCTGCTGCTTCAGAATACAGAACATCATTATATTGATACAACAACAGCACACTGACACGTTGTGATGAAATTTGGTTGGTGTATTGTGAAACACTCATACTGACATTTCGCCCAGTGAGCAAAGTGTTTCACTGCTAAAGAATACACGTGGCAAACCATTGCAAACTGCAGGTGTCTCTGTTTCCAAGAACAAAAGACAGGTCATCCCTGAGAAATCTGCCTGATCTAGAACTAAGAAACCCAGTGCTATGACAGTTAAGGTAACCTCATCATTAAACAACTTTCAAAGCACACCAGTTTCCTGTTCTGCAAGCTCAGCATGAATTGAGAACAGGTTTTTACATGCTTCTCTGAAAATTCCCGATTCATTACTGGAAACTAAAGCCCATCTGATGCAAGTCTGGTAACAACCAGCTTTAGCATATGCAACTCACTAATACATGCAAGGGAGGGATGAATTCTAGCAGCCAGTTTTTCAGTTTTCTGGCTTTATTTTACTTTTTTTTCCCTTTTAATAGAAACAGAGACCACTGCTCCTCTGCAGTTTGCATGATTCCTCATTTAGGAATAAGTGGCACGGTCAAACTCTTACCTCCTCATACACTCCAGAGCCTGGGTGAAGACCTGTGGAGCCATTCCATGTTCATGCTGTAGGATCAAACACTGCTCTAGGGTGACCGACATGGCAGTCCTATCCTTGGCACTTTTACAGCTTGTAAATCGAACACCATTTAGTCTGCGGCATATCTAGGAACAGGACATACAATTCATCATTCCTTCCTCATGCATAAACTTCCCTCTGTACACACGTGTACTCCTCCTCCTTAAAGAGTTACAAATGTTGTGTAGGGCTTTGATGTCAAACGTTGTCATCTTTGGGACAGCAGAACTTCGTTGT